AACCAAGATCAAAATCACCGAAAATGATAGGTATAAAGTCAGCACCCCGGATGAAATTAAAATTGTGAATTTCAACCCAGTATGGCTTCCATAAATCCAAGATGGAGGACCAAAATCCAATATGCCGGCCTCCGGACAGCAAATATGTACCTTAACCCATGGAATATCTACATGGTATCTACGGAATGGGCTTGATGAGTAGAAGCGTAAAATCAACATCCGCCGCCATTTTGGAATTCAATATGGCGGACCAAAATCCAATTTGACGGCCTCTAAACAGTTTATATGCATCTAAACCCATGCAATATGGGTAACTATGGAATGGGCTCGATGAGCAGAAGTGGAAAGTTGACATCCGCCGCCATTTTGGAATCCAAGATGGTGGACCAAAATCCAATATGGTGGCCTCTAAACAGCGATATGCATCTAAACCCATGCAATAATGGTATCTTTGGAATGGGCTCGATGAGTAGAAGTGGAAAACATACATCAACCGCCATTTTAGAATTCAAGATGGCGGACCAAAATCCAATATGGTGGCCTCCGGACAGCAAATATACATCTAAACCCATGCAGTATGGGTATCTACGGAATGGGCTTGAAGAGTAGAAGCGTTAAATCGGGATGTTGATTGGAATTCAAAATGGTGGACAAAATTCCAATATTGCGGCCTCTAAACAGCCATATGCATCTAAATCCATGCAATATGGGTATCCACGGAATGGGCTCGATGAGTAGAAGCGGAAAAATGACATCCGCCGCCATTTTTAAATTTAAAATGGCAGACCAAAATCCAATATGGCGGCCTGCATCCAAACCCATGCAATATGCACAGATAAAAATACTGAATTTTAATTGTGATGTGAACATTCATTCACGTAGACTTGTATTTCATTTCACGCAAACGAGCAACTTGCAAACAATGTTGTACAAAGATGGGCTTTTGTATACAATATTTGCTACATTGCATGAAATGAACTTTACGTGATATATAATGTAAACGTATATGATATGTGATGCTCCATTTATGTGCATTATATTGAACAGAAATTTAAACTACTTTTTCGAACTGTGTGGGTATCTACCGAATGGGCTGTGAAATCTATATATTTATTTAGTATCTTTTATTTATTTAATTTCTGCATCAACAGGCTCGTAGCCTAAATGAAGGTTAGTTAACACTACTGACTGTCATATACGTAATTAAAAATATAAAAACTACTCGTTACGATTTGTTCTCCAAGAAAATAGAACGGTAAAGTTTCGTCGCAGTAACTCACGTGACATGTGAAAATCAGACACAGTTGCAACTCTGTTGAATAATCTTTGAAGACCGATGATAGCGCTGTGCTAGGCATCTTCCCACGCAATAAATCATAAGCTAGAAAGAGCATTTCCATTTCAAGATAGCATACGCAACCATTAATGCAATTCATTATCATACCCTCTTGACACACATTTTCAACGGACAGTAAAACATGTACGATGTGCACATGTTTTTGCTGACTCAAATTACTTACCGGGTGGCCTTGCGCTGCAGGGCCAAACAGTAGAAACAAAACACCAAACAACTGCATCGATGGTATTGGTAAAACACCAAATTACAATATTTGTCAACACTTCTGTCCCAGACGTCAGTTTCATTCTCTGTCCTACACATTAGTTAATAGAAAAACCCAACTGTAAACCAATGTAACATCATGCTATAAAAACCCAAGGATTTCAAAACAAACGGCAGTCTTTTTACGACTGAACAATCAGAAGCTTCTCAAAGCGATCCTCATTCGAGGACACTGCTCACTGAAGAAAGTTCCCTAATCCAAAAGCGATTCCAGGTCCTTGCGACTGGTGAACACCGCTAACTTGGAGAGTAAATGTCTCCCGGGCTAATCGGGAGTAGTGTTTAACGAAAGGTAAATCGTAATCTGATAGCGCTATGCATGCCGTAGTTAGTTCTAACTCTAGTTAGTTCTAGTTCTAACGGACCCTGACTGCACATTGATGTTCATTTGTTCCATTATAGCTGGGTGATTAACTCGATTCTGCAGAACGTCTGCAACAAACATAGCTCTTAGAGTGTCGCGACGAGTGTTGAACAACGTTCCTCATAGGGGCAAGCTAAAAGGATCACGACACGGTAATCACCAAAGTGCTTAGCGAATGAATCTGCGTTGAACCGACTCCATTCGCTCAACACCATTATGATAAAAAAAAGGTTCCAAAAAGATGCATCATCATATTCTAATGTAGATCGTACAAGAGAACAGTACAACGATTTAAGGCAGTACAAGCCAGTGAAATCCTTAGCTATCCTAAAGATAAACCCCAAAGATCTGGAGGCTTTGTCTACCATGAACGAAATGTGCTGTTTGAACGTCAGTTGTGAGTCCAAGGTAATAAGCAGGTCCTTCACGTGACTTACTCGTTCAATTGAAATACGCAGGAGTGTGTAATTGGGGCTCATTTTTGCGAGAGAGGGTTAGGGACTTGTTATGGTTTACTGTCAATGCAGGCAGAAAAAATTTAAGATCATCAGCGAAAGAAAAACGAGGTGTCTCTAGCACAAAGTTCACATCGTTGAAATATATTAGGAAATTGATTGGCCCGAGGTGACTTCCTTGATGAATACCTGAAGTTGCTGGAAAAGCGATCGAATTGCAATCCTCAATAGACACACTGAGTTGGAGCTCGATAAGATACGACTAGAACCAAGATGTTTGACATCCATTAATCCCTAGCCGTTCCAATTTGGCAATGGTGATAGTGTGATTGATCTTGTCAAATGCTGCTGATAGGTCGGTGTAGATTGCATCGGACTGATGTCGTTCAACTAGGCTTCTCGTAACGTACGATGTGAAGCATAGCAGGTTAGTAGTCGTTGATTTGTTGGAAACGAATTCGTGTTGGTCTTCATGACTCCATAACAACTGATTCGAAGGGTTTGGAATAGCGCACAGCGAGCTGATTCCACGGTAGTTGTGTACATCCTTCCATCCTTCTTATGGACTGGATACATGTGTGCGTTCTTTAAGTATTCCGTCTGGTCGGGGATTGTGAGACGATTTCAGCCTGGGTGCTACCGATGAGATGAGATGAGCATCGACCGGAATTTCTTTCAGTACGTGATCGTAGACGGGCTGGGATGGTATACACTTTCGTTGGTAAACTTGCTGGAAAATTTGCTTGCGAAGAGCTGGCAAATTTCTTCAAGGCTAGATGCAACGTTAACTCCTAACTTCATGGTAGAAGAGAGACCGGAATCTTTACGCTGTTCATTCACGTACCTCCAAAAGCTCCGTGGATTGGACTTGAATTCACACTCAGGTTCTGTTGGTAGTGGGAAAAGCTTTCCAGTGTCGCCTTTTTGTACGCAAAATTTAACCTCACGTAATAGTCTCGAAGGGATCTAGTGTGGTATTTCGTAAACCGTTTTAACGAAGCAGTCTTGATGGATTTTATCTTACACGAAGACTCTTCCTTGCTACGCACGATGATCTCGATATTAATGAACCGTTTTGCGCACATGCCTATCGATAACATAAGACAGAGCATTAGCGGAAGCCCGTGCGGCAATTTCCACGACGGTGCAATCAAGAACACAGCTTCCTGCCCAACAAACACTGAATGTTGAATAAGAGCTTATTCAGACAAAAATATGCTTCTTCAGCTTAAAAATAGCTTATTCAGCTGTTGATCAACTCAAATTGTTTGTTGGGTGGTTGCTGATGCTTGGTAAATAAGACCTCAGCGATACTATTGTGATCAGCTTTCCGGAAAATGTAGGTAATGTAAGGCTTGAAATTTCGAAGAACTATCTGGGTATTGGACAATTCTTCATTTATATGGGATTGGGATTTTTCAATCCTTAAGGGCTACGGATTGAAAAATCTCAATGGCTCATGTGCCATATTAAGTATTCCAGCAATCTGACTTGACCTGGCTGGCCGTTTCTTTATTTATGGGCAGAATAGGATGTATTGACGGTAATATAGAATATATTGACAATACGATTGTCAATAAATGCAATTGTGTAGGGTCCACTTAATTGACAAAAATATTGAAAATACTAGTGTATGATGAGTGTATACAAATGTGCTGGTTCATGATGCTGATTAACCAAAATTGGTGCAATCCGATCAAGTTTGTGCCATAAATTAAAGCGCCAATTTTAATCAGCACCGAAAAACTATTTACATCATGCTAATAACCATGGGTTTGCAAACGACAAGCGCACCAGCACGTGAATCAGCACTAGTGTAAACACCATATTATTTCAATTGCAACGATTAATTCCCTTTATACTTAGATAAAATTTAATTTTAGCTTTTTAGTTTTAAGATATCAATTGTTATACTGAAATTCAGGTATAGAAAACCTCTTTAAAATACGTTATTTCCAAAGCAGGAACAATGTAAACGCACATAGATATATATCATAACAATTAAAGCTGGTAAGTTACTGTAGTAGCTGGAGCACCTAGATTAAAATTAAATGAATTTGGAACAGAGTAATTGTAAAAAAAAATCCCACATATTATAAGGCCAACATCTAAACAGATTGATCGCTAAATAGTATACTAACCAAAACAAAAAAAATACTCAACGAAACAGAAACCATCATTGACCACATCAAATGAGATTAGGCTTCGAACGAACAGAAAGCAGACGGCCGAAAACTGTTAAAAACCTCCAGCACGTGCTCACCTATTCCCAACGCCCTAGCCACCACCACCACAGAGGTGCTGACGAATAGATAAACATCATTAAGATAGGGGCCCTCGGTGCCATTCCGTAGCTTTCGTTTACAACCGAAGAAAAAGTAGACACAGTCTCCAAGAAGGTTAAAAAAAAAAGACCGAAAGCGTAGAAGAAGGTCATTGACTGCTGCACTGGAACGCTCGAGTGCACCGGGAACTCAGCCACTGACCTCGGCGGGACTCAAAACCACACGACGATGGCATTTCTTTCCACCCAAGGCAGAGGAAAACAACTCAACTCGAATCGATTTTTGTTTGGCTTTTATTCTTCTTACTTAGTTCTTACAACGCTAGGCAAGTCTAAATCTAGTAAAACAGAGATTTCTCCTCTTCGTCGGGTGAGAACTTTGCTCCACGCAAGTACGGGAATGGATTAAAAGTAACACGATTTGAACGGTTTCTAAGTTTACACATCCAGAAAAAGGCACATCTTTACAGTTCGTTCGATTTCGATTGTGGATTGGTTAGTAGATCTAAAATCTTACACTAAAAACGCGGACGGACTTAAATGCTATATCGCTACCACTGACAATCACCCCAGCTCAAAGGGGTTCGTCGCTTAGTACTCTACTGATTTACGATTTATTTGTATTCTTCCGATTTTGTATTTTATTTGTATGTTATGTTCGAGTTGCTGGCCTTGTTGGGAGCGTCCGATGAGCGGGCGTTGTACCTAGACTACTCCACCGACTGGCATCGTCGATACGGTGCTGTGCGGCGTCGTTGGACGCGATCCGGCCAGTGAATGAGCTACCGAAGCGTTCAGCGACTGCATCGTTCCCATTCGTAGATGGGCCAGATCTTCCAGCTTGGTCAGATCAGCAAGCTCCAGATAGAGCGTGTAGACAACCAACCATCCGTAAGCGGATGCCAGGATGATCAGGATCCAGATCAGGGTGATGAGCACGTTGTACGCAAAGATCAGATCGTTCACGATCGAGAACAGCAGCAGCGCTAGGACCCGGAAGAGCGTGAATATGGCAAAGGACCACAGCCAAGGAACGACGCGGTTCTCGTGTTCTTTGCGAAGAGCGTGCACCAACATGATGCTGGTCACCAGCACAACCAGTCCTCCGAGTAACGAAAATAGAGCAGCGATCATCAGGGCGTTCCGAACGTGAGTGTTTCCAACGTAGACAAACTCGTACGAAATGATGTAGTACCCGTAGTGGGTAGATCCAGGCGATGCCATCGCCAGGCAATATACATCGAAGATCGCCGTTGCGATCGTAAATATGGCGATGAAGATCGAAAACGTCCCGGTGATGATCGCTCCCCTCTGGATGTCGATGTATTTGTTATTGTGCAGCATCGGTTTCTGGTACCATGGTATCCGGATGGATTTCATCGATCGCGATCGCTGGGAGTGCAGATTCGTTTGCGATCGGCTCGTAATGTGCGAATAGACCGATGGCGTCGACCTGTACGTCGACGGAGTCTTCCGACCGTAATTCATCTCGCCCAAGGCTTCAACTGCAAGCAGAACAAAACAATTTTTCGCTCATTGAATTGCAAGTCACATGCAATATAGGGACGGGACGGAGACCACTTGTTAGATTCTCGCTATGGAACCAGGTACACCAATACAGGCACACCGCGCCGAACAGCAGCACTGATGACGGAGAAATTTACACTTGAACTTGGCACTCTGGGCTATGACGACACTCGCGCGATCGCGACAGACAAACAGACAGACCGTCAGACCGGAAATTGACAGGTAAGGCGAAGCACGTGAGCCTTATGAAATGGAAATGTAAGAAAGCAGGTTTGAACGAAAAAAAAAATATGATAAAATGGCACTTGGCAGTGTGGCATTGGAGAGGTTATTGATCAAACGAGAAATAACAACCGAGACAAAACAACAACAGACATTCAGCGAAAGGCGCGGGCCGGGACGTGGAATAAAGAAAGGGACAGTTAGTAGCAGGAGACCGAGAGCGAAAAAAGAGTGAGAGAGGTGAAAAAGGTTAATGAAATAATCGATAAAAATGTGCCATTCTATCTTGGTGGGTGGGGGGGGGGGGTGAGAGGGGGCAGTATCTATAGACAAGAACAGTCTGTCGGTGAGTGTCTCTCTCTCGGCAAGCAGTTAGGCGGCCGCCCCCAACGAACCAAATGCGAGTCGTTTTGTTCAGCTGTAATTTCTCGTCATCAGAGCTATGTTCTTATTTTTTTTTCAGTGCCATTATTTTTTGTTTTATTTCAAGCGGATGAATCAATTAGAGAGCAATAAAATGTGAATTGGGAGGTTGTATCAATAATAGAGGGTTCAAAAGTGTCGTATGATCATAAACTGCGATTGGCGAGATGGTGAGGAAGATGTGATAGACTATGAGTCAGATTTATTAGGTGCCATAAGGTCTCCATAAAGTGTTGAGGTTCGCCTGTTAACAAGATGTTTTAAAGGTAGAAAATCGGAATTTTTATTCACGCAATAGTAAAACTAACTACAAACAATTACAAGTTTCTGTGGTTTGCGCAAAAAAAAAATAAAGATTGAAAATGATTGATTTTCTGTGCCATGTGCCAACATCGATCTCTGACACCGGTTACTGCTTAATTGATAGTAAAGCGAGAGTTTTCCACATCTTCTGGTTCATTAACGAACGAATGCATAATGTGTTATTAATTATAGCTTGATAAAGCGTCACTTAGGCTTACACAAACGGTCGATCAGACCGACTCAAAATTGAGTCGGGACTACTCAATTTCGTCAAAAGTTGGTTTACTCAAAAGTGAGTTGATTTTTCCGAGATGTTCCAGGAAAAACATCTCGAATATGAGAAAAATTGATAAAGGTTTCTCTATGGTGGTCGATGCGTGGCTTGTTCAGAACGGTGTCCGCTCGAGATAAGCTGCTTCGATATCACTCGCTTTGTCGCAACTGCTTCAGACGTGGAAATAAGGCTTCCGAATGTTCATCTCGCTTTGTTTGCCGAAGCTTTAAGGTGAAGCATCATACATACAATGGTATGTTTCCGACCAGATGGGACATAAGGGAATGTAGAGCAGAAACCTACTCAAGCAATTCAGCTACGGCGGAGAAAAATCCAAACCCGGCTACGGGAGCAGTGTCATCCAATATGACACACCGTCATTCTTCGTCAGTACTGCTTGCTACAGCCGTTGTCTTGGTGGAAAATGATCAAGGGCCTTGTTGAATTGATGATGATGATGATGATGGTCCCACCTCTTACCCCTACAAAGGTTTGAGCTGGACGAGTTATCTTTAAGATAATTAAATATAAACATTTTAACCAGGTTTGCAAACAAAATCGAGCTGGTTACAATTACAGATATAAATGTCCTGTTAAATATGCTATAGGCATCAACCAAAAACATTCAAAGATGTAACTAGTTATCAAAAGTCCAAGTATAGTCCTCGACAATACTTCCATTTACACGTGACCTGGGATTTACACGTTTAAGCTTCCGCAGTGCCAGGACTATATCCAAGGAAACGACTTCCAGCCAACCCTTTACTAATTCAAGGCTTTTGCCACAATTTCCACGTATTAGTCATTTATACCTGTATTCCGCGCGCGAGACTCAACCCATTGTAGACTACTCAAAGCTATTTTTACTATTACTACTACAAAATCAAAAACTAAAAATCCATCATCACCATCGAGGCAAACAATGTAGTTTTTTGTATATGCTACACAAATTACTAAAATGTCTTTATGACAGTCTCCATACAAAATAATCCGTTAGAGATAACTTTGTCAAGATACATGATTTATCCATTCATAAAAATTTAACTGCTCAATAAACAGCTTTTACATGTGAAATGCAGCGTCTCTTGAATTCTGTAAGTGTAGTTGCACGCTTGATGTGTCTAGGCATCGAATTGAAAAGATTTATACCTTTGAAAAATAATGAATTTTGTGAAGCATTATTCAAAAGATATGGTGTTCTTACTTCATTCGCGTTTCTAGTGTTATATCTATGAAAATCACTTCCTCTTTCAATCCGATCACACAAATATCGAGGCAGCAAACCGTTAACTACTTTAAAAATGAACACCATAGTCAAAAACACAATTCTTTGCTTCACTGACAGCCATTGCAAAGCGTCCAGCATAAAAGTTGAGGAAGTGAATCTATTACATCTTAAAATCAAACGCATTACTTTATTCTGCAAACGCTGTAATCTCGATATTTGTGTTTCATTGGCCAAAAATAAAATGGAAGGGCAAAAGTCTAGATGAGGGGAGATGATTGATTTGTATAACTGTATTTTACTACCAATAGTTAAATCGTTTTTCAAGCGACATAGGATTCCATACTTCTTGGCAATTTTCTTGATGGCATTGTCAATATGAGAATTGAACTTGAGTTTGTCATCAATAATCACGCCAAGATATTTAATTTCCTGAACGCGATCAAGTGTCTCATCATCAATAACAACAGAGACATCATCATCTACACGATTCCGCGAAATTACCATGAATTTAGTTTTACTTATATTCAATTTCAATTGTTTATACTTCAACCATCTACTTAGAGAACGCAAATCTTAATTCAAGCGTGAAACGGCTTCTTCTAAATCTTTAGCTGCAATGAATAACACAGTACCGTCAGCAAAAAGATTAATATCACAAAACCGTAAAACTCGTCGCATGTCATTAATATACATAATAAATAAAAGGGGCCCTAATACACTTCCCTGAGGCACTCCAAGGTCATTGTCAACGGGACAAGATACAAAATCATTAAAAACAGTTTTTTGTGTTCTGTCAGATAAATAGCTTTCAAACCATTTGTATGCAGAACCCGAAATTCCAAAGCGCTTGATTGTTCTCAACAATAAGGGCCTATAAATTGTCTCAAAAGCGCGTTTTAGATCCAAAAACACAGCAACAATCGTATCTTTATGCTCCAAATTTTCTTTCCATTTAGCTAACACTAAGTTTAACGCGGTTTCACAAGAATGGCCTTCCCGGTATCCCGATTGTTCCGGTATCAACAAACAGTTACTATTTAAATATTCTAACAGCTGGCCTTTTACAACAAGTTCCAAAATTTTCTCTAATGTGTGCAACATGTTGATGGGACGAAACTCTTCGGCTTTAATCGTCCCAGCAACTTTTTGTATAGGAACAACTAAAGATTCTTTCCAAATATGCGGCACGTGCCCAGATTGCAATGATTGATTTATAAGGTCCCGCAGAGTGTGTCGAATGACATGAAAGCAATCTTGAATAACTCTAGCATTAACATTATCTACTCCAGCCGTTTTTCCTAATGAAAAGCAAATATTTTTAAGTTCATCTAATGTAATTGGGTGAAAACCATTAAATCTACAATTACTATTAATCGGCTGTTTTATTTCGTCCGGTTCATTGATCAGTGAAACGCTCTCGACGAAATAGTCATTAAACTTAGAAGCAATTACTGGTTCTGACTGTTCTAATATGCCATCAAAAGTTATGGTCCGCGATTTACAAGTACTAGGCTTCATCAAAGATTTAAAAATTTTCCATAACTCTTTGCTGTTGTTTTGATGCTGATCAATTTTCCTCTGAATATATTCACATCGAGTTTTCTTAATCGATTGTGAATATTTATTACGTACGACCGTGTACCTATTCCAATGATTATCACTATTAGATCTACAAAACTTTTTGTACCATTTGTCCCTCTTACGTTTAAGACGCAAAAGATCCAAATTGTACCAGCTGTTCAAGTTTTTCAAAGAAACAAACTTTTGTTCAACTAATTTATTGGTACAAGTTTTCAAAACGTTAGTAAGAAAAGCTGCATCTTCATCTAAAGTTCCGGTAACTAATGGAAAATCCACGCTTCTCTCAACAAGATTCGAAACAGCTTGCTTCGAATATTTCCTCCAGCACTTCAATTTTACAAAATTATCGTTATCGTTAACACTGTCTAAGACATTAATTACTAAAGTTTCATGATCGGTTATTTTCAAATCAGCTTGAGTAACTGAACTGACAGAATCAAAATTAGAATAAACATGGTCAATCAAAGTTCTACTGTGCCGGGAAATACGCGTACATTCACTTACTAATTGTTTTAAATTAAAGAAATCAGCTAATTGCTTCAGATGGTTCGAATTGCTAGTATCATGCCAATTAATGTTAAAATCACCCGCAAGTATATTAAGTTTACTAGAATCTAAAAATGTCTCGAACCAATTCTCTAAAATTTCAATAAAACGCTGATTACTTGAACTGGGAGAATGATACAAAACACCATAATTACCCATCTTCATGCCACGTTCAACTGTAATGTCTAAGAACCAATTGCCATCAATAACTTCGTTTTGGCAAAGATTGAATTGAACTGATTCTTTGACATAAATAGCAACACCGCCAGTGTACCTCGAATGTGACAAACAAGCAGCAGCTTTATATCCCGGAATGCTATACTGATCAAAAGATTCAATTTCTACAATATGTGTTTCTGCTAACAAAACCAAAAGTGGACGATTATCTTCTACAATCTGAT